ATACACGGTTCTATTGTGCCGAGAACATCATTGGCTTGGAGATTCTGAAACAAAAAAAAAATTAAAAACGTATTTACTCCACTACGTCAAAGTTGGTTCGACTGTGATAATCGGGAAGTTTCCTGATTGATTTAAGATGCTAAAGAATTTAATGATGCTAACTTCTAGATATGAGGCATCAGGGTACTTTAGTAATATACCCTCGCAACGCCCTAATCATGCAACGAGCATCCTGTCACGCCACCATTTTTTTACAGATGGAAGAATTACGCGCGTGTCCAAGGAGAATCAGCAGAATCAAAAAACTATGCGAAAACGAAGATGGAGAACATTAAAAAAACTAATATCAATCACTACCCTCATAAGCTCACCAAAAAAAGAAACTAAAAGAGAAGCCATTACTGAAATGAAATTCTAAATCTTCAGGCACAAGAAACCATGGATCACAAAGCCGCATTGCAATGCACTCCGCACCTTGAAAAAATTGTCTTTGCTCTGGGCTCCATTAGGTGGGAGGCCTTGGCTAAGTGAAATGAACTCCTTCAAGAAGAAAGCGAGATCTCTCCTTCTTGAAACCGAAGTCTCCGGATCACGCAATTGATCGAAAAGTTCTTTCATCAACCGCTTATCTTTCTGAAAAAAAACTTTGCAAATTATCAAGGATTATTTCGTTCCTCTTTTAGGCTTACCTGCAACATGTTCACAATATCGATCCTATTAAAAAACAGGTAGCTATTCAGAACAGAAAGAAGATTCTCCTCAAAAAGGGACGGCGCAGGAAGGCATACATCTTGAAGGTACTGCACACGGTAGGTCTGATGAATTTTTTCCCTGAAACGAAGTATACAATAATGTAGTGTCCAATGGAGCGGTCCATTTATGTAATATGCAGCAGACCAGATGCCAGACCGCGACAGAAATCTACTTAGTCATTACTTCCTTAAGAGGAATGATAAGCAAACGAAATGAAAAACGAACGGAATGATTCAACAAACTCACTTCAGCTCATCGTTCGCTATAGGCAGTACTTCACGGAATGTTGCTTTCTCATAGAGAAACTCGCGGTGTTTGCGAGGTAATTCATGAGCTGGATCGTATTCAAGCATACCAATGAGATCTTTCAGATATTTGTCGCTGAGCAATGTCTGAATAGAACAAATTTTCTCTTCATGNAACCATTACAAACTGGCCGCTGCTCAAAGAAAAAATATAAAGGTGTAAAAGACCTATGACTTAAGCAGGAACTGGAGAAGGGCGGCCATAAGCGAAACTAGTCGCACAATAAGGTTACCTAGGAGTTTGTACCAGAAAATGTAACTTTAGATTAAAAAAAATAAGTGAATACCCGTATATTCACGGACTCCAATCCAAGAAATCACACTACATGGGCGCGGCAAGTAGAGGGAATAAAGGGAAGTGCTTACGATTAGGAGCAGAAATTTAGATTTTGGAAGAAAAAGGTGGACCGTTAAGTACCCATATGGTCATAGGACAGGGTTTCAAAAGGAACTATTCGAGAAGTTGGATCATAAAAAGGAAATGCTGCCAGTACTTTTCATGGGACCAAGTCGAAAATATCACCTACCTCATTAAGGCTATTTCTATTCAGCATAAACAAGTTTTTTGCAATCGAGTACAGTGTACGCAAGCCATCCTTGTGTTCAACATCTTCACACATGTGGAATACGTCGACTAGTTTGGGCAACACGCTAAAATTTGTAGCATGAGAGTATAGACAAACCAAAAAAGGAAGCATTTGATTTTCATCGGAAACAATTTAAACCAGTATCTTACATGATATTGAGTAATTCAACAAAGGTCACAAAGTATCTTTCCCAATACTAATCAGCTGCTGCAAAAGGATGAACCATTGGAAAATCAGAGTTGCTTTAGAGCTCACCTTTCTGACTCCACTGCATTCGCCATTTTTTCGCGTAACGCTTGTGTGGCAAGATGGTTCTGGATTACGCTGTCAACCTCGGAAAGTCGGCCAATTTCTATCGGTGGTAAGACTACGCGGCCAGCGGCTCCTGTAGTGGACAGTGCGTTGGATGAGCCCTCGCTCAGTTCTCCATCATCCATTTCGTCATATCCGCCATCCTATAAATGGATGCCTCGATATTTGTAAGAAAGAACGTCGACCGCGAAGTTTGCTATTCCCATCATGCAGCTCTTCAAAGAACATTTTCCGCTGACGGGATTGAAATGTAAGCCACTACATCACGCTAGCAATGAGAAATCATTATCTTTAATGACATAATTAATAATTGAGCGTCAATGATGCAGGAGCTGCAAAACTTTACCGCAGCTACTCTCGTGAATTATAAAATATGTGCAGCACAAGGAAACGTTCAAAGAACTCGACGCATCACTTATAAGTACTTGTACTTGTTTACACCCTCCCACCAAATTTAGCATCAGCCAGCATTGCTGCCTCCATTTTTTGCCATTCCATCGGCTATTGTCTGGGAAGAAATTGAAGGAAACCACTTATTGTGATCTCTTTGCATGTCTTTATTTGCAAAAGATCAAAGACTCTAAGAAAAATAAAAAAATGTACCGAATCTCCGGGGTCACGTCCTTGCACCTCACAAATCTTAGCCCAAATCTCTTCGCAGCCTGACTTTTCCTGGAAGCTCAGCGCCAGGTCGCACGTATCCGATTCAGACCACACAATCAGGGTTTCCTACAATGAACACATGAGAATAAATCCATGCAGAAGTATATTTCTCTAGCTTTGCACCATTATGAAAGAAAAATGCTATCAATCAAGGTGGCCTGGGAATCTCTCTGAAAAATCAATTTGCAGACGAAGACATTGGCTTTGCAACAGTTCGTGGGAGGCAAGATTTAGGATTAGGATATAACACTAGAAAATAATTCTCCAACTACTCGAAAACAAAAATTATATGCGACGCCATGCCTACTACAATTCACACTTCAGCATGGAATGGAAAACTTCCAAACCTAAAAGGAACCTTTAAAAAGCAACAGGTTACTTCCCAAGGTAGGTATTCAGAAAAAATTTCACGTCATACGAGTTGTGGATGTAAGTTTCCATTAATATCTAAAGGATGGGACCTCGAAAAAAGTGTGAAAGTGTTTTAATCAGACTTGCACCTCATCCCTTTGACGTCACCACCATTGCAAAGCCGCATAACATGCGTACATATATTATCGAAGAAGAATAACAAGAGAGCGGAGAAGGAAAAGCGTGTGATGATCGCATACACAGGTGCCGTCTGCCTAACGAGATGTACTCATTCGTTACAAGAAAGTCAGGAAGAAATAAAAGATGGGATCATGAGTCGCCTGGCAACCGGCCATACATCTCATTTACTCGGATTAATGAGCCGTAGAACTAGCAAACAGAATATCTCCCGTATTTTAACAGAGAAACATAGTGCATGCGAAAGAACACAGCTGACGCCACGGTCCTATCACATCGAAGCGAAAACCAGTACATGTTCACACCGATGAATGATCATTTGTTACCTTGCGGAGTTCGAAATTTGTCAGAGAAATGTTATTACATTTAAGAAAACTTCACTTAACCAGCAATAGTAAATTTTAAAAAGCTGACAAAAAATTTGCTCTGATTTCATAGGGACCCTTTAGAAGAATTCGAATGACAGAAGAACCATGATTACGCGGACTAAAATAAAAGAGGGTTTGCTGCGCTACAAAAGGCACATCTTGCAGTTCATGTGCTCCAGAAGAGATATCTCTTCTATGAAGTCACGAAGAGGATTGCCTCAGTATAAATGTAGCCGTCTTAGCTACCTACAGCTAAGATGGCTACATTCATACATTCGTTGGCATTTGCACTGGGCACTTCAACGGTACTTATGTCACCGACGTCAACCGATGTATCACATGGTCAGAAACTCATGCGACTCATGCTAGCGTTTCACTTCAAGGCATTCAAATGTTTCTGCTGTAATGTACTTACTGCCCAACGTAAACAATTGTACAACTGAAAAAAAGTATGTATCCTGCTCATATACAAAGGTCGGACACAAGGCATTTCAGTGTCTTAATAAACCTAGTATAGGACACTAGTCGTCCATCGGACAATAAGAATATGAATGCAAACATCAGTTCTCCCAAACCCTCAATCTCTTCTGAGCACTATGCAACTCAAAAGTGGTAGAAGTAGCGCGAGGCATATCACTTTCTCAAGGGGGAGATCCAGATATAAATTCCAGTAGCATAAACTAAGCAAAACCCACCGACAGTAATAACATGAGGCTCAAAAAACCGGGTAATCTTCAGTGACAAGGTTTCGATAACTTGTGGAAGAACAATATTCCAAGGGATTCCAAGATAACAAACAACCATCTAACTATTTTCCTCACTACAACTGATAAATTTCCTTTTCTAGCGCATCCCGCTCAAAACACTGACTTTTTGTACACAAACACTACATAGAAGGAAGATTCAGAGTTGTTGATGACATAGTGGGACTTACTTTAGATGATTACCCGATAACAGAACCAATTCGAGAAAGTGAAATAAGAAAAGAAATCAATAAAGTGAAAAACAGAAGTAAAATAAATTTGGTATTACTTGTCGCATCTGCACCAAGCACAACACAGTTTATCGATACGATATTACGCAAAAAAAAAACAACCAGCAGAACCCCTAAGCATCAGAAACGAAGAAAGAATAATTCATGCCTTTTATGGCAAAAATACTTTAGCTAGCTTGTTTAGGTAAAAACGAAAGAAGTGGTAAGAAATCTACCAGGTTGCCGATGTTTTCTTTCCACCAGAGATAAAAAATCTTCAGTGAAAAGAAATCATCGGCAATCCAATAAATAAGGGATATCATTTGAAGCTGATCGTAATGCACTACGAGAACCATGAAGCGAACTGCGTATTCGTACGCATCCCCACTTGGTGATACCCTTTTTCCTTCTTAGCGTTTGCAATGCTGCATGTTCGGTCTTATCATCAACTACTTGGCGGCGAAACTTCATCGAAAGATAAACTTCACCCTCGCCTTCTACATTCGCTTTTACCAGATTTTTCGCCATCTCACCCCCTACGTGAACAGCCCTACCGTTGCGCATTTGTACACCTGCCCGCCTATGCCTCCATTTATGGTACAAAATTTAATTGCCGGGTGTGTGGTCACGTTCATCTCAAAAACCATACCCTAAACTGACAAAAATTCTATCAAAGTTGCTTGAATAAAAGAAACATGAATACTCATTCTAAAGGGCAGTCTATCATTCATTCTCTCGTCCTTTGGCTATTAGTGATATGCAAAGGACGGCCTTGTTATCAAATATGTGAATGGGCGAACTTACTTCCCAGATTTCAAACCGTAGACAGTTGTAAAGAACTTTTGAAATTAGAGATAACTTCAAAGCTGTGCTGCAGTAATCTATTAGGCTGGCGTTAAGGTGCCGAGCACATTTTAGCAAACGCAATTACATTTTTTCCAAAACAAACCTTATTCAGTTATATTTCAAACTTAAAGTACTCAGTTACTCTATAAATAAATATGGTCGATAGATATGGATTATCTGATGAACAGGTAGGTAGTCGTTCTTCGAGGAAAATGTTCAAAATAATTAAAAAAAACATGCAGTCACTTAGCTGCGACTTTGATATTAGCAACAGCTGCCCTCAAATTCTAAATAAAAAGTATAAATCACGTTACTTCCAAGCTCGTCACTGGGCAAGCAAATTGTTAAAGCTAACAAAGGCTACCACCAAAATTCGCATCAACGACAATCATAACAGTTTTTACTCTAGCCACGTAGGACGTAAAATATGCCCATTGTAGCTTTTCAATTTGGGAAATAGAAGAGATGTACTGACATGAGCAAAATGAAAATTTTACCGACTAGGTGTATGAAACACGGCCAAATTTCTTCTGTCATCCGGTTCGATTCTTACCGAACGATGTGTAATGGAGCTAAAAAATTTCGAAACTTCAAAAAAGGCACGTACACAGCAGCACCTTCTCAACCATTATCAACTCCTTATTAATAGACACTACGACCAAAGTTCATCATTTTACCATGTCTAAGTATGACGCCAATTCGCTATACTCCTTCAAAACAAAAAAGAACCGCAGTTGTCGCTTTCCAAGCGAAATCCAGTCCCCCCCGCAGTGCGGATGTCCTACACCCTCGAGGCCTTCAAAGTCAAGGACATCTAGTTGTACAGAGAACTCCGACTATTACAGCCACCTTCACAGCGTTCTTCCACACTAACTGCGTGCGACCGACGGGTGATGAATGGCATACTAACGGTTAGGAGACGTCACCTGATCAATGAGTTGTGGACACTTTCCAATCTACACCGAAGAACCTTTCCCATTCTCTGGTGAAAATAACAAAATTTTTGAAAAATACGACAGGATGCATAAACAAGTCTACATACCACCAGACGAACTAAGCAATCAATAAGGCGTCAAGAGGCCTTCACGATTTTCCATGATATGAATCTGTTCTATGTACCCTATGAGAAAACCACCTTCGTCACTCGAAACACGCCGCTATCATTCACGACACTTAATTTCAGTGTGGTCTGAACAACTCAGATCCCTTCAAAGGCAAGAATAACGATATACAAACATATAAAGAGTCGTAAGAGGTTGAATCCGCATAACTATGAGATCTACGTACACTTTCAGTTTCCTTTAGCCCAAGAAAACTAGATCATTCAATTAGACAAAGTCGAGGTAGGAATACAGCTATATCAATTAGCGAACCACAAAGAGATCGCGAAGTGTGAAACATCCAAAACTCATCAATGAGTGGTTAAAAGTATTTTATGAGACAACGAAGTGACCGTTTTACTTGAACACAAGGTTTCTCTAGCAGCACGAAACAGCCATCATTCTGGCACTAGTCATTCGTAAACCAGTCCGCCGACCAAACCTGACGTCAACGCAAAAACAAGACGCTCTATAGTGCCCGCGTTTTCAACTCAAAACCCATAGTACTGTTGCTTCGAAATACGGACTACAAGGATGGCGCAAAAATGATTTTCTAATCAAAAAAGCACGATTAGAAGAAATAACATCGTGTAGCTGAGCAACTTTCAAAGCTGCTTTTCAACGACGAGCAAGGATTCAATAGTTCCTTATCGTTTCCTCCCAGGAGTATAGGTGAGGGTCACCCCAAGATAGATTGAAATAAGAAATCCTGAACGAGAAAAGGGATTGAGTGTGTCTTACACTGAAAAGTCAGTAACTCCGAAAACCTTAAACTAGAAAGGATCTTACCAATACAGCGTTGCGAATAACAGCACTAGATTGAGCGCTAGAACACAAAACAAAGTCCAAAATCTAACATATTTGCAAATCGCTGTAAATCCTGAAGAAGCCCATCTACAGCGTCTTGCCAAGTCTATGAAGCGAAACGATAAGATAGAAAGTTGCTTATTTGCTGTAATTTATGCTGCTTGGCTCATAACTCTGCAGAACCCAATAGGTCAACATATCCTATTTAACTTTTCTTGGATACCACACCATGTTCAGCGTCTATGCACATCTCATCCTTCCAACCACACAATCACAGAACATCTCTCGAGCCTTCCCCACTCTTAGGGTGAGTTGTATTATTCTCATTGATAACATATCACTACATTAGGGCAGATATAGAAGCAAGGAAAAAGAAAGAGCTGAAGAGGAGTGGTGAGCAGTGGCTCAAATTGGGAAAAGGTATTATGGAGTAAAACAGTCTAGTAAGAGACGAACAAACGCGAGCACTCTCAGAAACTGCAATTGTAATCCTACAGAAACAGTGAATCAATCAACAGCACCAGCATCAAATCCTAATCGATTGACCATCAAACTTTTAGCCTCGAGTATCGCTAGCAGTCGATGAAGAAAGTTGACAATCTCTTTTTCAAAAAGGGAATCTTAAGTAAAGAAAATTTTTTTCTTAGAGCGTTCGGAAGTCCTGATTGAGTGGTCTCAGTAAGACCTGGGTCACTGCTATACCCCTTATCACTGCCCCCTTGGGAAACTTAGTTCCACAGTTTTTGTCACCGCATGACAGCCTCGCCTTGTTATAAAATTATTTTTTCTTCGTATAACGTCGATGAACATTCATGAAAACTCAACAAATGTAAACCCAAGAATCTACGTTCCAGTGAGCCGAGATTCTCGCAAAGACCTCACAGATAAGAAATTTTTATCAATTTCTGCAAATTTCGCAAGAGTCCGCTGA